ACTAACAATTAATCATGTAAACGCAAACTTAATGGCATCTTAAATGATTAATTAGAGTAATTAATTGTCAATTAACAAAAATTAATTAAAAAAAAAAAAAAAAACTCACGTTTAAAGCCAACCGTCGATGAATGTTATAATGCTCGACAGCAAGAGCGAGTATAAAGCTCCCAATAACCAGGGCGATGACGTCATCCATATAAGAATGAGCGACGCTATTAGCCGACGAAATTCCGAACAACGGGAACAGGAAAAGCGGCGCCAAGGATGTTACCGGCGAGGGCACCGCCTCCGTCAGCCACCAGGCGAAAACCCACGCTAGAATTGCCAACATGTTCCGGCTGGTCGTCGGACCGTCGAGCTTCACGAACAGACAAACGGCGGCAGACAGAAGGGGACCCAGAAGGATGTAGAAGTTGCCGGGCGCGAGCAAGGATGTGAGCAGAGTGGATGTTGAGGTCTGGGTTTCCGGCCGGTGGGATTGATCGTCGCGGAGGGGGAGCAGGGGAGACTTGGGGTCGCCGGAGATGTCATCGGCGGCGTTCATTTTGATGAAGATGGTGAGATGGGATTAGGTGGGAGAGAAATGGAAGGTTAAGAGTCGAGGCGTGTTTGGCTTATATATATGGCTTATATACACACACACACACACACACACACACACACAAACACATACATACGTACATATTTGTATATATATAATTGTCGTGTAAAGATGTGGAGGGAATTGTGTACGAGTTAATTGCAAATTTGGTGGGATGACTTCTCAAAAGAATTGGGTAACATGAGGCGTCTAAACTATAAGTTAATCCCACATCGATACCGTGGAAGGTATTTAGATAAAATTGTAAATACTTTTTCTTTTGAAAGATGCTAGCATCTTTTATTTGGTCAAAATATTGTGTAGATAATTTATTTAAAAAAAAAAACTAATTTCATCCGTTTTAGTAATTATCTCTAAATTACATTTCTTACCGATCATTTAAAACGATAATCTTATTAATATAGTAGCAATCAACAATATTATCTATTACATACACACATTATCTTATATCAGATAATATTTATTCACCTAAAGTAGAAAATTAAAAATTTAACTCTTATCTAATACATAAAATAAAAATTAAATGTTCGACTTTTATTAAACATAAGATTAAGTATATATTTCATAATAATAAAAAATATATATCTTATATCTATCATTAATTACAGTATCAAGTATTCTCTTAATATAAGAATACATTAAAACTTATTTCAATTTCAAAAATTTTTTTTTCTCTATATCTTGTAGAAAAAAATATATCGTTTACAGGCAATAAGTTATTTACGATAGTAGTTTTACCAATCAAATCTATTTATAAAAAATAGACGAACATAAGTAGTCAAGACTTACGGAGAGATCAATTAAACACATCAGGTCAAGTTTGAAATACGTATTTAATTATAAATTTAAGCAAATGACTTTTAAATCTTATACTTTTAAAAATTAACTTAAATAGAAGTATTCATATATTTAGAATCCAAAAAACAAAAAATAACACGAATCATCCATTTCAATTAAAATTAATATTATATCAGAATAAAATCAATTTTTTTTTCAAAATTTTCTATATATACACCAAGCATTGAACTAAATATTTGACCACGCTCATTCGGCCCTATCTAATTTTTCAATTTAAAGCGAAATTATATGACTGTGATTACTTCATGTACTTTAATAATTTTACAATTTTTTTTTCTCTTTTATCTCGAATTAAATTGTAAAATATTTTTCATTTAATTATTTTTTCTTTTCATTATATTTTATTTTTTCATTCATTGGCCTAATCCAAATCAAGTCTTATTATAAAAGCAAAACTAGCCACATGTTTTAAGATTTGACATCATGACATGTCTCAATTTTGGTTAGGCCACCGGCTCTTGGTTTTATATATATATATATATATATAAAGCCATCACCTTTCCTCTATTTATCAATTATTAAATAATTATATTTTTTTATTATAAATATTTTATTAAAAACTAAGATATATTTTTAATAAATATACTTAGACTTATTAAAATTTATTTTAATTTAATTACTACAATTCTATTAATATATTAATGAAATAAATTCTCAATTTACTTAAATAAATCATTGTGGGCGGAATAAATTAAATTTTGAAATATATATTTATATGTGTTTGCTCATGTATACATGTATATATATATATAACGGTTAACTTTGAATGGTAAGAAAGATGTGATGGTACGTTTCTAGGCTTTGTAAGATAATGTTCCTTCTTATTTTTCAATGAATAATTATGTGGGACATGGAAAATGATGTGGGTTTTAATCAATTTATGTGGCATCTAAATATATATATATATATATATTTGTAAGGGATTAACTTGACACATCAGCATGTTTAAATAGTAATTTATCTCTATGATTGGAGCATGAGATTGCCACGTATGCATGGCGACATGACATCATGGATGATGAATCAAAGAAATTGGACATGTGTGGCATGACCTATCCATTAATTAATAAAAACAATCATTCCAAATTTTCAACTTCGAACATATAATATTATTCCATACGGCAACCAAAGAAGATGGATATGAATACATATATACATATATACATATATATATATTTTTTACATAATGTATCATAGAATTTGGTTTACTTGGTTATACAAAATAAATTTGAAGTTTGCCATTTCTAAAATCTTTGCACGAAACAACAAAATATTCAACACCATTAAATACAAAATAAATTAAGTCAAATAATTATTTTAAATTATAAGATTAATATAAAGAATAAGAATACATATCATAATTTTTAATTCGATATATCTACTTACATATCATAATTTTTAATTCGTTATATCTACTTAAATTTAAAAAAATATATTATAACGAAATATTCTTTTTATCGGAATATAATGAGTAATTAAAAATAAACTTAATTTGACTAACACGGTATCACTAATACATTGAGGAAATAAACTAATAGTCACACTTAATCAAATAGTATAATCAATAAATTTACAAAAAGACGAATTATACGTGCCGAATAAATTTTGAATAATCTTAATTTTAAATTAACATATTATAGTTATTAGTTATATTGAATCAAATAGTATAATTGATAAACCCACAAAATGATAAATTATACGTGTTCAATAAATTTTAAATATACGATATTCAAGCAAGAGTACAACAATTTTAGTTTTAAATTAATATGTTATAGTTATTAATTATATTAAATCAAATAATATAGTCAATAAATTTAAAATTACGGGTTATAAGTGCTTAATAAATTTTGAATATGTAATATTCAAGTAAAGTATAATAATTTTAATTTTAAATTAGCATATTAATGGTTATTTATAAAGAATTCATAAATAATTAAAAAATAATACTATAATAAGCTTGTACCGTAATCATCTCAGACAAATTAAATTTTCCTTAAAAGGAAAGTACACTTTCTTAAGTAATGGACTTTCCTTATTAGGAAACCAGCTAGTGGGCCCCAATCCTGCTTTATAAATGGGGAATCTGCCCCTGGCAGAGCCCATTTTCAGTTTTTATTATATTATTTTATGTATTTACAAGTTTATAAATTAATTAAAAAATTAAATATTCATCAATTAAATTATACATATATGTTAATTATAATATAATAGAGATATTTTTTAAAAATAAATAAATATTTTTACTAATTATTAATGGATTTTATCTTAATAATTATCTCTATACTAAAAAATTTATTTTGATTATTATCAAAAATTATTTTCATTAATATAATACTTTTTTTATTAAAAATAAATATTAATTGTAATATATTAAATTTTTTTTTTTTTAATATTATTATTTAATCCTTATGACAAACACCCACCAACTCTTTTATCCAATAAGCTTCTGCCAACAAAGACGACACGTGTACCTAACGGCCTTCAAACAGTCTCACCACCATACCTCACGCCGCGGGTAGGTGTTCACAGCAACCAAATGCTTCCGATCAGAAAATCTGCAATGGAGACGATGAAGGCAGCGGTGGAAATGGAGAAAGTGCCGATGGACCTCGTGAACGACGTCTTCTTTCACCTTCCTGTTAAGTCTCTGGTTCGCTTCAAGTGCTTGTCGAAGCCGTGCTGTTCTCTGATCGAAGGCGAAGATTTTGTGAAGTCTCACCTCGATCTATCCGTCAAATCCGGCGCCGGTCGCAGTGTTTTACTTAGAGGACATCTGCATCTTTACTCTGTCGATCTCCGATCACTGGATACTGCTAAAGAAATCGAGCATCCTTTGAAACCTAGAGGTCCGGCTGAAGTTTTTGGCTCCTGCAATGGATTGATTGCACTCTCAAATTCCATGTCTGAGTTGGCTTTATACAATCCCTCGACCCGGAAACTTCATCGATTACCTGTTTCGCCGGTGGAACATCCGGCAGGCGGCGGTATTCGGGGTTACATTTTTTACGGGTTCGGGTACGATTCGGTTAACGACGATTACAAGGTTGTAAGAATGGTACAGTTTAGGAGAGACGAAGATGATGATATCGGTTGCTTTTTCCCTTACGAGGTTAAGGTCTACAGTTTGAGAACCGATTCGTGGAAGAGAGTTGAGACGTCGCCGTTTCAGCTACAGTTCCTTTTTAATTTCTATTATCACCTCATGTTCCGGCGAGGCTATGGTGTTCTGGCCTGCAATAATCTCCATTGGGTTATGCCTCGAAGTCACGAATTGGGCAACCGCAATGTCATCTTCGGGTTTGATCTTGCGGCGGAGTTGTTCCACATAGTGCCTGTGCCTGACTATGATGCTGATCACTCCCCGGAGTTTCAAATGGACCTAGGTACGTTGAATGACTGCCTCTGCGTTATCTGTAACTACGGGCAAGCATATGTGGACGTCTGGGTGATGAAGGAATATGGAGTGAAGGAATCGTGGGTTAAGCTGTTCATAGTTCCTCGACCTAGGTCGAGTGTTGGGTGTTTTTCGTATCTGAGACCGTTAATTTATTCTGATGATGATGATAAGGTTTTGGTGGAGTTGGATAACAGGAGGCTGATGTGGTATGATTTGAATAGCAGAAGACTGAGGACTCTGAGGATACGTGGTGACCACGGTGGGTTTAGCGCGGAGATGTACGTGGCAAGCCTTGTATCTCCAGGCGAGGAAAATAGAGCGGATAACAGCAGGAAATTGGAGCAAGAAAAGAAGAACAACTGTAGAAATAGGAAGAATAGGTAAACACTATGCTATATCTGCTATAATTCTTGCTTAATCGTTTGATTTGTTCCATATCATTTTGCTGCTCTTTTTCATATAACTTTTCCGGTTATCTTTTTGGATATGAATCAGTAATCTTATAATATACGATTGATCTTATAGTTTATCTCTATGGTATTCAAAGTTCATAAAGAGCCAGTTAGATAACGAGAAATGTAATACTTAACATTGCAGAGTCTTATTCAATTGCGTTTGATTGCTTTAGACATTTTTGAAGATTTGACTATGGCATCTTGCAGTTCTTTACTCATATTTAGCGAAATCTAGCTGGTAAAAGATTCTTCGAGTATGGTTTTATTAAAAATGCTGCAGTTGAGGCCTTGATTTAATTTATGATCTTGGATAGTGATGTGGTTAATTGGACTTGTATTCTCAATGTTTAGGTAGTACTCTGCATCATTGAGCTGCCACTAGTAGGCATTTTCTTACTGTTGTTAATATATCTAATCTAAAATTTAAGAATGCGACATATCATTTCCTGCCTATATTCTCTCTCAAGTTTGACCCTTAAACTGCGTCTCCTGTTATTTTCAGGGATGATTTTCTGTCTGTAGGGTTTAAGCTGGTTCTGTGATAATCGAATTTCAAAGGGGGCACAGTACGCAATAGAGAAGAGCTACAAGTCAAGGTAAAATCCAGAGGATTTTTTAGAATTGCTTAAAGAAATGCTCTGTTCTGTTAACTAAAATATTATCTCCTTATTTAGAGAATAAATAACTATAGTAAAATGCCAAGAAAATTAAATCAATAGGGACAAAACAATTAGCATCTGCAAAAAGTCAGAAAATGATGGTTACGCCAATTCTCGAAGAGATGGTTTAGGTAGCTCAGATCCTGGGAGTGATTCTTGTGGGTAATATCCTGAGGGTAAAATACTAAATGAACCAAGTAAACATGGAGAATGCTTGTTTTACATACTGTTTAGATAAATTTTAGTGATGGTTAATTAATATATAATAATAACAGTAATTGGATGACAATGACATATGATGGGGATGACAACATTTTTTTATATTTGGATGATTGTATATTAATGTATGTTAATGGTATATTTTTGTTTGGATGATAAAATGGTGTGGTTGTATTTTCAGTTAAATTACTAATTTATCCTTACCTATTTATATAATAACAAGTGGTATATAAGAAATATATAATAAAAAAAAAATTAAATTGTTTACCAATATAATTATATTTATATTTTAATAAATAATTATTGCAAATTAAATTTTTATATTTAATAAAATAAATAATAAATTAAAAATTAAATTACTTACCAATATAATTACATTTATATTTAAATAAATAATAAATTGTGAGGATAAAAATAAAATTAAATATATTATATGGGGATATAAACAGAAAAAAAGTAACCTACCATTCACATACCGCCGATTCGGTAGTTTTAAAATTTATCCTAAATTTGTCAGTTAGATATTGTTTGTTACCATTGGAAGTTGAAACAAACATGATTTTCTTACATCCGTAAAATACCCTACATTAAAATTGTATCATTTATTACGATTCAAACAGAGTGTTAAGGTATTCAAAGAGCGACTTCGTGTCATTATGCAAAAGCTGGTGCAAGAATATCTTTATCAGCAAAACAAAAAAGTTAGAATATATGTTTTTGGCTAACGTTACTTCTAAGCACCTAATCAGGGTCATGCTTATTTTGTTATCGAATGCGTAAACTAGAATTATGTGCTTAAGAGTTAATTACAAGCACCAAATATGCAATCTCAAGCACTTACAGAGGTCGAATAGTTACTAATGTGAGACTTGCCATCTTTCTTTATTTAGTGATGGTTCTTTGCTTTCGGTTGCGCTTTCTTGTTAAACAGTAATTGTTATGAAGATTTCATTGTGCGAATGTTGTTTCTACTGTAATCTTTTTTCTTTTCAAAATTTTTGGATCGTCTTTAATTTTTTTTCCCCTTAATTGTCCTTTTAAGTAATTTCTAACTAAATTTGTTGGTCCTTTTTAATTATCCTTAATGACCCTTTTTGAAATTGCATCATAGCTGATGGCATGGAGTTCTCAGTTTTCAAGTAGGAGGCAAAGGTGCGAAGGAGGGTCAACCTGGGTTACTGAAGGGTTGTCTGATGGCTCTGTGGCCACACCACGGGTTTTCTTTTCTCTCCAGCACTTTTGGACTGATCATCTTGCTGCAAAGATCTCAAGAGTAGTAGGGAGAAGAATAGTAATGTACAGCATAATTTTCTTTTTCAAGGATACATTTTACTTTAGTTGCTTATATGTGAAATGGGATTTGTTGCAAGTTTCCCTCACTGAATACAATAGTAGCTATATGATTTTCTGATGAAGTCTCAAGGGTAGCAAGGTAGAAGAATGAAGCAGAAAAAATTACTAGATTTTATGGGCCAAGGATTTTAGGTACGATTGCTCTAGAAATGTTTTTAGATTAGATTTTATACTCAAGTAACTACCAGACAAGAATGTAAATATTTTTATGCACCAAAGAGAATCCTATATTCACGGCCTCAAATTTGTTTTCTTGCATTTATATTCCTTCACGCTCATCAAAGCTGCATGATGCTAATTAAAAATATTCTTTTGGTTATGGATTATGGGGTGTTAATTGGCATTTGAGTTGAAATTGGAATTAGCCTTTTCATTTCAGGTGCTAGCTGGGTAGTTGGTTTGCAAGAAGCTCCAACTTATGTTTTTGGAAGACTTTATTTCTTTCCCTTGAATGAGTTTGGAAGACCTGGCTTCAACAGGACTGGCAGCACCATGGATTCTCTGGAGTAAGTTTATCATTCAAACCAGTAAATGCTAAAGAAGAGATTGAGAAGAAATATTGATGACTCTTTTGCTCTATTTCTTATCTAATTGTTTGTTCTGATTTCATGTTAGTCTTGACATAAAATATATAACTAGAGCATGATCTCGATTCATGCTTTAAATTTTTTTAGAGTAAAATTTAGTTCTTACTTTGGAGTGGGGATTAAATTCTCTCTACAAATAATTTAAGGTGGGAATGAGTCATTGAAATATTAAAAAAAATGTTCTAGTTATATATGTATGTGAAGGTTAAAATGAAAAGTAGAACTAAAATTAGATTGGAGTTAATTTGTATTATTATTTTGAAACATCTAACATTTGATTAACGTCTAACATATATGTATGGCTAAAAGTATGTGTACTAAATCATAAACATTATCATCAATGAAAAGATATGAAAAATAATCAAATCCCTTTTGAAATGTTTAACATTTGATTTACTACCATTCAGTTTCATAGTTGATATGTTTTCTTTCTTTATAAAAGGTTGTGGGTCTAGATTTGGCTGTGTTTTTGTATATTCTTGTTTAGATGTTCTGTTATGTCGTATTATAGTGGGTGTGTATATATTACTTAATAAATGAAGATGCAAGTTTCTACTAGAAAAACTCTTTAACATTTGCACAATCTGCATCTATGGCATAACATTTGATCAAATATTTAGTGCTTTGAATTTTATTCAATGAAGAATTCAACTTAGCACAATTGATTTTACTGGTAGGTAACATGCATTTTCAGCAACAATAAATGTATGGTATACTACATCATCAGGTAAGTTGCTGGTTACTTTGAACTGCTGAACAACTCCAACCAGTAACGAATGATTGTAAAATGATTAATATGCCCTTTACAATTTTCACAATTACCAAGTCAACCAAAGGAAGCTTCAAATATCTATGCAATAGAAAATGAAGTCACCGTCTTCTTCACTCTCTACTTCTAATATGCAGAATGTAATTTTCAGTCGTTGGTATTCGTTGTTGATGTCGCTCCTTTATTGGAGAAAGTTCATTGCTCTAGCCTTGGCCCTCCATCAGCCCTTCTATCATCATAGCATCAAGCTTCTTGGTTCTTGCCATGGCTTATTGTGTATCACAAACATCATGGACGACATCACTTTTTGGAATCCATCTAATCAGGGAGTATCATATCATTCCTTCCTTATCGCTTAAGCAATGTTGATATTTGATTACACTTTCTCACCTCATTTGTGTATATAGGTTCGGGTATAATGCCATTGATGATGATTGTAAACGGGTTAGAAGCAAGCAGTCTTAAGGTGCAAATGGTGAGTTATTTAAATTTGAGACTAGAATTTATAGTTTAAATACTAACACCTGGAGGAGGATACAAGATATGGATTAGGTTTTGGGGTATTATAAAGATAATATAGGAGTCTTTGCTCGCAGGGTTTTGCATTGGGTTGTTAATAAAAAAAAATATGGAGAAACCAACAGGAATAAGGTTGTTGTTGCTTTGGATTTAGGACTTGAGGAGTACAAGCAGGTAGAACAGCCTGAAAATATTAATAAGGCTTCCCACGGTTTGTCGTGTTGGGATGATGTCTATGTATGGCGGTCAATTATCGTGGTGATTATGTTGATGTGTGGGTGATGAAAACGTATGGAGTTCAAAAATCTTATGTAAACTTATTTTTAGCTTCAGATTATTTAGCGTCAGGGATTTGAAGACTGATGAACTCTTTGACTTATTCAAAGCCTCTAGGACTTTTTAGAAGTCGTGTTATGAAAGACATGTGAAAGACATGTTATGTTAGCAAATGCTTATTAAACAAAAGATTTCTCTTGTTTTACATGATTATATACCATTAGTTCGTCCATAGGTAAGAGGCATTATGGTTAGGGATCTTCTATTTGTGAATTACCACTCGGAACACTTCTTTTTTTGCATTTTTTACTATGTTAAAACTCATTTCTCGATTCAAGTATTAAATCTTAATGTAATATATCAAACATTTCTTTCTAAAAATGAAGTTCGGTGTATTCATTTATAATCATTTTTTTTGCATTATTTTAACAGAGTTACGAATTCTACTTAGTTAATTACATCAAAGAAATGTTTTCAATAAAAAATTACAATCAAAACATGATTGGTGTTTGTGCTTTAGCCACAAACCTTCCATCTCTTATTCCTATAGTGCATTTACATAATGTGTTAGTGTTTGACCAGATAGAAGCAAAACCAAGGGCCGTGTTTCTATAAACATCTTTGTCCAACATTCATGAAGTATGGCGATTCT